GGGGGGGGGAAGGAAATGATTTGGGTAAGTTGGTGAAGAAATTAAAGAAAAAAAAAAGGATGGACATCTGTTGGATATTTAGTTGTAAAAGAAAAAAAGAAATCACTGTTCCAAGGCAGCAAAAAAAAAACAAGAACATATCCTATGTATTCATTTTCGGCCTGTTACACGATTAGCAATTTTTTAGACTGATTTTGAGCATATACATCGCCTACGGTCATGTCGCGTGGGCGTATCGGGAGGGGCAATGGTTCGCCGTTGTACTTGGCAGGGCAATTTACACATGACACCAATCACCCTGATTTCAATATACACAAACAAAATCGCTCCATCACATGCCAAATGATATCGCACAGGTTGAATCTCTCAAGTCATTTATTCACTTCTTCCTTAGCTTGCTAGCAAACTTCTGCACTACATCATCATCGCTAATCAAATCATTACGCAGAATCTCGTGGTCCCATAGCCGCCAACGCCAAAGCCGTCCAATACCCGTTCAACACTAACAAGAAACGAAAAAAAAAGAAGAAGCAACGACAGCAAGATGCAACAAAGAACCAAAACAACTAGGAAAACGCTAGACAGCAAACACAGCAGGAACCACACGTCCACAACTTCGCGTCTCTCCATCATCAACGCGTGCGTACAAAATGAAAACAGTCGCTTCGGTTAGCGTACGGATCTGTTTGATTCGGGAAATGGATGCGCAGCACCCACACCCGTCATACTCCACATGCCCACCATCCCCAATCTGAGTCGGTAGGAAAACGAAAAGTGGTTGCAAAGCTAAAACGCAAGGAGATGCCAGTAAAGTAAAGGGAATGTCCGAGAATGCAACTAGAGAAAAGGGTATCGACGATGAAGAGAAATGAAGTGACTTTTGCTTAGAAAATCATCGATCGAACCTGATCTCTACGCCCCGACTTTGCAGCAGACTCCTGTGTTCGCGGCCTTGGAGCCGGCGCATGCGACATGCGCATATCCTTCAGAGGTGGAGCTGGTGCGTGCGATTGCGTTCGGGCATGACCCTTGGCGGGGCTAGGGTTGGGCCTGGGCGAGTGGACATCGTGCGATTGAGTGCGTGCGTGAACCGGACGATCAATGTTTGAAGTAGGAGATCCCAGCTGGGCTCGCTCCTTGCGTTCCTTGCGTTCCTTCTCAAGGACCATGGCGGCCCAGCCCTTGTTTTGCGCAATATCCTTTCCGACGGTCTCGGAAAGAACCTTCATCCAGGCCTCCTTTTGGTCGCGGCTGTCGGCATAAAAGTCAATAACCTCGCCATTGGCGAAGCGGATACGGAATCCCTCCTCGACAAACATGTAGCCTTCTTCGTCTTCAGCGAACCCAGACTTGCGGCGGCCACCAGACTTGGTTGCAGAAGGCTGTTGAAGAGCAGACTTGTCATCCATGAGTTTAGAGGCCTTTGCCAGGTTGATAGTCGCACGTGGCTGGCGAGTGGACTCGTGATATGCAGTGAGCTTTGTGCCTTCCAGGCGGAAGAATCGGCGACGCCAGTACTACAGCATGTTAGTTTGTGTTTGTGAACGGTCAATGCGAGAGGAGGTACTTACGGGACAATCGCCGCCTTGCTGGCTTAAGGTACCTTCGAAGCTAATGTCCTTGACTTGTTCGGCCTCCTTGAGTTCACGAATGCAAGCATTCATGCTCTTGGGCATGTCCTCATCCTTGGAGTTCTTCGGCTTGGGCACATACAACAGCTGAAGAGTCAGCTTGCCGACCCGATAAGGGGGACGGCGAACAACACCACCACGCTTGCTCTTCACGCTGCTTCCGCCCGTATTGTCAACGGCCCACTCGTTGAAGCAGGGAACATCGACAGTCAAAGGGCGACCATAGGCTTGGTTCTCGTAGTTGCTGAGGCAGACATAGGCACGAGCAAACGATCCATCCGAACCGACCAAGTCATGGAGGAGGTCCCAGGCAGTTGCCTGGTAGTTGCGCTTAGCAGCAGCCTGAGCCTCTTGCTGTTCTTGAAGAGCGATGCGATCAGCCTCCTCCTGCGCCTTGCGCTCTTGCTCCTTCCTCTTCTTTGGTGATGAAAGGAGATTGCGGAAGGCTGAGTGTGACTTTTTGTGGTTGACAATCTTGGTGGGTGGAGCAACAACCTGCTGTACCGCCGGAGGCTCAAGCTTTGTCTGCAGAGTGAGTTGGAACTCGAGATCGTCCAAGACGACAAGCTCGAATTCTTGACCAATCGGAGCCGACTGGGAAAGCTCCAGCCAAGACGTGGTAACGCAGTGCAGGCCATTGTCGAGAGTCAGTTGGAAGTTGACACGCTCCTTCTTAGGAAGAGGAAGATCGAGATCCTTGACACCAACCACCTTGACAAACACTCTGCCACGCTCCTCTCCATCTTCAAACTCATCAGCAACGCCCTGTTCAGCCACAGCGTCGAGACCACCCGCGACAGCCGAGTCCTGGCCAGGCAAAGGCGGAGCGGGGCCCTCTGAGGTCCGCATTCGCCGACCTGATGCAGTTCGGATACTCTTGCGTCGAGGCTTGCCATTCCACGGTTCTTTCGTCCAAGGCTTGCGCTCAGCACTAGCCTTGCGAGTTCCAGCTTTGGCAACTACGATTTCAGGTGCAGTGTCAGTTCCAGTGGGCGGCTTCTCGTCACTGAACTGGCGACTGCTGGCAACAACAACCTTCTTGTTCTCACGCATCATGTATCCCTTCTGTTTGTAGGTGTTAGTACATTGATCGAACGAAACAATTTGGAGGGCAACTTACCTTTTGTGCAGCGATGATGTGATCAAACTCCTTGTCGAGGCCGAAGCTGAGGTCATTCGAATCATCACCAAGGTTAAGATCCAGCATGCGTCTCTCTCGTGTCCCAATGCTGAGCTGTGAATCTTCATCATCAACATTGCCCGGCTCAAGGCTCATAGACTGGCGTTTAGGACTTCGCTCAGGAACGGGAGGAGCATAGCCACCGCTGACATGACGACGCGTGGCTGCCATGTCAACCTCATCAGGGATGAGCGAAGGTCTGGTCTTCAGCTTTCCACCCGCACCCCGAATGGTGGCTTCACGCTGAGGAACCTCGATATCTTCTTGTGGAAGGGGTGATTGAGCAATGGGGTGTCGGATAACGGAGTCTGGGGTACTAGGACCTTCGGATCCTGACTCGTCATCCTGACCTTCTGCCGGCTCTGGGGTGACAGGTCGACGGAGAGCAGCACGCATAGCGTCCAGCTTAGGAGCCTTGTCAAGTGGGTTTGCAGGTGTGTCGACTGTAGGCTTCTCGGGGTCGAGGCTGAGATCCATGCTCTTGCCGTCAAAGTTTGAAAACATCTCATCTTGCTGAGTCTGCTTGTCCTCAACGACTGGCGAGGAGGGAGCAACAGTTGGTGTTGATGGGCCAGAAGAGTCAATGGTGCTCTGGGACGTGGGCTGCTCTTCAGGCTCAAGAGAATATTGACTAGTGTCATCCTCGTCGTCGGACGCTGGTGGCATGGGGTGGTGGATGACGGATGAGTCGCGCTCATAATCTTCAAGCTGGGACATGGAGCTACCGTCTACATCGGTTTCGTCATCATGGTCACCGTGGGGCACATCGCCATAGCTATATGCATCCACTACACTGTCTGCCTCACTCTGAGAAACACCAGAGACCTGTCGTGGGTGTTCGTCGAAGTTGGAAGAGACCTCGCGCGAGGGGATGGGGACATCGGGATCAAGATCAGCAAGGTCTCCATAGCTGCGCTCATGGCTGTCGTCGTGATCAAAGTTGCTGTATTCAACCTCGGAATCGTCGTCTTCACCATCCTCAAAGTTGCGGCTCTTTACACGACGCAGGATGGAATCGCGCGAGATGCGGGGCGCAGATCTCGGCTCATCAGCGGCAGTCTCGGAACGCTCAACGTCAGCGTCGGTGACCTCATCGTCAACATGAACGTTCTTCCTGTTCTGCATCTCCTGTGTTGGGGTACTTGTATCGCGGTCGTTGTCGAAGTTCATCAAACGCAATCGGTCCTCGAGCGACATGGAAACTTCGCGCATATTGAGGAGATCGTGCTTGGAGATACCAGCGGCTTGAGGAAGCTGAGGAAGAGAGCGCCGCCTGTCGTTGATTCGTTCAGCAGCATTGGACAAACCAATGCTCGAGTCACGCCGCCGACTGCCCTCTTGGGCTGGAAAGCCAGGAAGAGGAGGAAGTGGTCTGGCGTCGCTATCGGAGGCCGTTGAGCCTAGGCGCGCTTGGTTCCTTTGGCCATTGGGGTTTGCAGAAGGCATGGGGCTGTTGTCGCGACCGTCGAAAACATCGTCGTAGGTGTCGGTTAGTGAAGTGTTTGCGGCATCTGGGCTCATGTGGCGCCAATCCTCGGGAAGGACTACGGGTGTCTTTTCGGTGTCCTCGAGGGAAGCATCGAAGCTGTCGTCCTGGTCAAAGCTCAGCTCCTCCTCGGTCTCGTCTTCTTCGGAGTCGTAGCTGCCGTCTCGCGATGCTGTCGTCACCGAGGGGTCGGGCGTGACCATCTCGAACTCTGTGATTT